AATTTGTGCATCTTTGAAAAAGCCGTTTGAAGTAAGAACACTGCCTGCACAATCAAACGTGTTGAAAAAATTTCTGTATGATTTTTCTCTTTTGATCTTTTTTTTCATTTTATAAAAAGAGAAAAATTGAAGTTTCATTCCTAATGCATACAAATAACGCTTCGATTATCAATTTTAAGATTGATAAATATGCAAAAATGCTTATTTGCAAACACGGATCTGAGTAATTCATTCAGATAAATTAATCATTCCATTAAGGATAATAGATTTGCATAAAATTGGGAAGCATAACTTATGTAGCATTTTATCTTTATTTTTATTGAGAATCTATTTTTCATATGAGTAATTTTCTATTATCCAGTTTATCAAGTCTACATAGAACCGATTGAAAGACCTTGACTCACTGTTATGGCTACCAATCACAATCTCCAATGAGAGTACTGTCCCTGGTAAAAAAAAAATCCGTATACGACCGTTTACGATGTAATATGACACGTTAACAGGAGCGTATTCACCGCTAAATATAGGGTCCGTGATACGACCACATTTTTGATAGAAGGCGGCAATATTATGAAATCTTTACGCCATTTTATGGTGAGAATACGCTGTCATATATGAACAGTCATACAGAGCGAGTTATATAGTCACAATATGGCGTAAAAACGAGTATTTACGGTAATGTTACATTAATTTACGGTGACCCGTAACGATTGACCTGAAATATTCATTGATATACAATACAGCTGTCGATAACTCAAATCAGACTAACTAATGTTTTGATTTTTGAAATCATGAGATCTTATGATTTAAAATTAATATATCATTCAAATTACTGTTAATTATCTACTTAATTTACTTTCATAAAGCTAATACAATAAAATAGCAGCTGACAAAAAATAGCGAATGAAAGCAAAGAAATAAATCATTATAAATATTTTCATATAAGAATAACTTGAATTATTGAAATGTGTTTTTTTTTAATTATATCAGCAAGACTTCAATTATTCAATTTCAATTGTTGCTCATAGAAAAAATAAAACAAAAGTACAAGAAGTTTTTTGTTTGACAATGAAACAATGACACAAGTTCCTTTTCTTATTGTCGTAGAGATATGATCTAGTGACTGATACATCGAAAACGCTTGCTTTTGAGCGATTATTTCTAATGCACTCTATATAAATTTTTTAATAGCTGGTTCGTTATTCAAGATTTATATATATTCAGAATCAAGAAGATCTTAACAATATTTGTATAAAAATATTATGCTAATCATTAGTTTAAAAAAAACTAATAGATGACACTCGGCTAATTCGTTTGGACAGATGGTTATAACTATCCAGCATAAAGATGACGCTAGTTAATGATAAAATTAAAATAAAAAAATAGCCCATATGAAACATGGGCGGGCCGGCATAGAGGCGAGAGGGGGGGAGGGCCGTCGCCGCCCCCCCCCCCAACAGCTGAAACAGTTGATTTTGCTGAACAAAAGAGCGCGAGACACAAAGACTGTCTCTCAAAAT